TTTGTCAAGTAGTGGCTTGCGTCACAACAGCGGGCGCTTGTCAGACAATAACAAAAAAAATTCAAGTGGTGGGTGGGTGGGTACGGGTTTTTGCCATGCGCGTTGTGCATTCGCCTGAAACAGACCCACCCCGTTGCACTCCCACCCGTTTCAACGAATGTTAAGCCTACCCCTGTGCCTAGAGGCACCGGGACTCCAGAGCAAGCCCCATAGCATCGTGTGAAAAAGCATAGCGCTATCTGATGTGATGTGCAATGTTTGTTGAGCACGGAAGGCCAGCATGTGTCACGCGTTTTCGTTATGCGTGATATGTTTTCCAGTTTGTGTGTTGATAATGTGCTGAGTGGTTATCAACCGTGCGGTCAGCTAAAGGTGAAATAAGAGCCATGTCAAAGTCCTGAGCCTGACAAATTTTGTCCGCACCTTGCATGTCCGCCTGTTGGTGTGATTCTTCTCTAGGGAGCGAACAACCCCAACACCCGTTCTCTGAAGAATCTTCCAGTGCCTTTGTACATCTTGAGGATATTGGCACCTATCAAACCTCTTTGGGCTTTGCAGTGGTGGGAGGCAAGGGATGCCGTAGCTGCCCTGCATGCTCGCAAGGCCTTTTGCGCGAGCTTGGCTGCAGGCATCCACGGCAATGCCCCAGTTTCTGTGGACATGTCTGGCACAACAGCTTTCCCAGGCGAGGGCAGTGAGGGCAGTGGATGAGCCACGGAAGCTGTTGCAATGACGTGAGGCATCAGCAGCGACCCACGAACTGTCTTATTACGCCGGGTGAAGACAAAGCCTGCCAGTGGATATGCAAGCGAACAGTTCATCGCTTTCACAGGCCATGACAGCCTATGCATGTTGCGGTGGTGGTAGGACCGTGGCACCCATCATGGCATTGTCACTTCAGACGTGCCATGACGCAGGCATCTTTGACTTCAGCCCCTTGCTTGTGGGCCGCAATCCGGATGCAAGAAAGGGGCACAAGACTCAGAGTTGGAGAATCTGCAGCATTTTGTGAAGGCCAGATGCGCATATCAAGCAGCACATCGACAGCTTTCGCTTCACCAACCACTCCTTGTTCAACTCCTTTTTTATCAGCCGACATTTGTAGTGAAGGGCGGGCCATTTTTGTGGCATGCGACCAGGGAAGATTTCGGGAAAGTTTGCTAAGCCTGAACCGCTCAGCAAATATGCTAGGCATGTTGTCTTCCTGTTTCATGGTGTGGGCTGTCCTGATGCAGAGAATCAGACTTGTCAAGCTTAGGCTGTTTTATCTGCTACGCCTTGTTGCAGAAAAATGCTGTTGCTCAAGATGCGCAACCAGGACATGGAGACATAAATGAAGCAGAACCAAGACGTAGAGACATCGAGTGAGATTTGCCAATAAGTTGCCACTTAGAAGTTGCAAAAAAATGCAAATCCTCCGCGTAGGTTCCTCATGGCTTCCAGAGCTGTTGCGTGGCTTCGCGCTAATGCAGCAGCGCTGGGCGTTGGGATGCCCGTTGTCGGCGTTATTGGCTGCTATGCTTGGAATGCCACGGAGACCCAGCGCATGGCGCGACAAATCTGCAAGGGACATTTCCAACCAGATGCTCTTGCAGACTACGAGGAAAGGTTTTGCCTTTTTGACAGAAACATGATGGAGAATGCTCAGATGGTTGGCCTGGTTGGATTGAAATCCACAGGGAAGTCCAGCACTCTGTCGCACTTCCTGAGAGAGAGGCCAAATCCCTTCCACCTGAAGCTCAAGGACGGCAACCTCTACGACGCGCTGCATCAGAAGCTGAAAAAGGCCGTCCTTTGTCTCCCCTTCTTGGCCGACCGTCTCCGGTGGGACGCTGCGAAGACCAGTGAGGACATTGTCATCGAAGTCTTTAAGCTGGTGCAGGAGCAGACAGGCTCGCCGGTGCAGCTCGGGGTGGATGTGGTGTTGAACCCCATGATATTGCCTTTAGAGGCGGCAGACAAAGCAGTGAAGACTGTGCAGAATTTGTTTTTGCCAACGCCGAGCTCAGTTCCAATTTTCAGCTCAATCAACATCATCATGCTGGTGAAGGATGTGAAGTGGCTTTGTGCCGATGAGAGGGTGGCTTCGGCAGTCATAGCATCCAGCGAGGGCTTGGAGCTTCTGAGTGTGAATGAGCCAAGGCTTGAGAAGCTGATGGCAGAGGAAATGCCACTCGAGAAAGCCAAGGACTACCTCCAGCACATCCACGCCAGGGACTACAGGGACGAGATGCTCAGGAAAATCCCACGAACCTTCAGTAGCCTTCAACGATTCAAGACAGCACAGGACAAGGAGGACTTTTGCCAGAAGCAGATGGAGGCGTGGATGCTGTCAGTCAAGGAATCTAAAGGGCACTGCTCCCACGAAGGCAAGGATGGAGGTCTCACGGCCGCCAAAGCCCTCTACCGCAAAGCGCTCGGCGGAGCAGTCGACTATGACGACATTTGCCAGCACTGCACAGATCAGCAGAACTTCACGGCGAATTTCGTGAGACCCAACCTCTTTACCCCCACCGCAGGTGCGTACAAGTTGCAATTCGATTGTGTAGCCGAGGCAGCGAAGGCTGTGTTCGGCCTGTGAATGCCCATTGTCCATTTGAAGGTGGCAACCTGAGATGCAACTGTAAGTCTGAACAGGTCATGTTGAGGGACAACAGTGCACGTGAAGAGCAGAGAGACTCAAAAGCGTGGGCATCAGCATCAGAGCGCACGGTGCTTTTGTAAGTGAAAAATATCAATACGAATCACTGTTTCCAGCAACCACCCGAATCAGCAAATCGTTTCCAGCATGCCGATGGTGCCTGACCTCCCACAGCTGCACGGGCAACTGCTGTGCTGCAGCTTAACCAAGGACACATGATGTGGGAGAGGTGAAGCAGGAGGTGGTTTTTGAGTCTCTGGTGGCTGCTGTGGTTTCATGTCAGCCAGGCAGTTCTCAACACGTTCGACAAGGGAGTGGCTTCCTTCCGTGATGTGCACAGCATTGAAAGCGTAGCCACCTCAGTCGCATCCCAATACACACGTACATGCACACATACACACACACACACAGAGACAACGAGACCACTACAAAACAGCAGTGAATACTGGCACCTGAAAGGCAGCCACGTTATAAGCGATGCCTGAACAATGCGCTTCCTGCATGTGTTGCTGCCTCATCTTTTCGCGATCACCACCAGGACCCGACCACTTGTCAAGTGTGTCAAGTGCGAAGTTTGGCCCGAGGGCACCCAGCGTCACGTGGCTTATGAAGAGAGGTTTGCCCAGAAAACCCTTGGACCGTTTAGCGTTTGGCAAATCCAGGGATAGCCTGCCAGCCTCCTTTTCGGTTCTCTGAGCAGTGCAAGCTTGCCACTTGGGTTTTGGCCGTGCTTCAGCTGAGATGCATTGGCGTCAAGTCGGCAGGACCCAATTTTCAGTCCCAACGACGAGTCGGTCACACAGCTACGCACTCGGCTAGAGGCGGTCACGGGGCAGGTAGCGGTAGCGGAGTGTGTTGTTTGTTTATTTGTTTTGTTTTGTGTTGGGTTGTGTTGTGTTTTGTTTGTTTGTTTTTGTGTGTGTGTGTGTTTGCGCGCATGCAAAATAAGCGGAGCTCTGCAGTTCAAAGCTCCTCATATTGACTGGCTGATCGAATCTGAGTTGATCATCTGACTTTTACCTGCCCATAATGCTGAACATTTTTATTTTGAAGGGTGGTGAGTTTGTCATATCACAGATGTGCTGACGCTGTGAGGAGACCCTGGCCAAGCAAGAGCCATGGTTGCAAGGGATCTTGGAGGCCTTAGAGAGTTTCAAGGACAGTCTTTCATGCTTCTTGGAAGTGCCATCCCGCAACACGCACTTGCCTTTGCAGGACGTTGTGGTCATGGACAAAGAGGCCTTTGCATTCTTTGCCGAGATTTCGCTCTTGAAGGGAATTTCCACTGGGGTCCTTCTCAAAGGCGGTTTGTTCGAATTCTCAACGAATATCTGCCAAGCTTGGTCCCTCATTCAACTCAACGACCATCTCCTGAGGAGCCTCCCTCAGCGGTGCGGGCCATGATCAAGGAGAGGAAGGAGTGTGGGCCCTGGATTTCGAAAGCATGCAGCCTGAGTGAGTGGATCTTTTTTTGGGGGGCACAACTCTGTTGCTTCATCAGCGGCTTCCAGTTTTTCCATGCTCCAGTGACGCGCGAAAGGGCGTGCGAAAAGGGTTTGATCAAATAATGCTTGATGCCCCACTTCCATTTGCTTAGGGATATTTTCTATTTCCTGGAAGCACCCATACTCAATCACCCACTCAAAGGTGCAGTGGTGACTTCCATTTTCAATTTACTAATTCCTTTCTGTGAACGGGATCTGGTCAAATCATCGAATCCGCAACGATGCGTCAGGTTCTGCCTCCGGTGAAGCAAGTGAATCTCAAGATCAGATCGCGTGCTTCAGGGTGGGGCGCTTTTTCTTTTTGCACACGGGTTGTGAACATTCCAATTGCGTTCTGAGGACAGGCGAGGAAAGAAAGAACCAAATTGGATCATTCCTGTTCGCGGCGGGCCGCCCTACGAGGGTGACGTGCGGTGGAAGGCTGCGCGTTCACTGTTGTTGATGCTGGCTGCAGAGGTGAATTTGGTGAGCGAGTTTGCCTGACCTGACTTGGAGCTCTCTTTGGCCATGTGCTTGTGGGTCACGTTCAAAGAATCACGAGGCTGTCTATTCTGTCATAGCGCCGGTCATTGCCATGTGCAGGCTGCAAAACGTCAAGTCGGTTGTCGCAGGGCTGTCAGGGCCTTGGGTTTTTGGGCCCTCCAGGCGCAGCGCTCAGCACCGCATTTTGCGCAGCTTGGCCCTTGAGGTTGTGATTATCAAGTCGCCAGTGAGCCGGCACTGGTGACTGTCAGCTTCACGCCGACGGCTTCGAAGCACTTCGCATTCTGGACAACCCAAACAGAGACATGTCAAAGAACAGAGAATGAGCCATGTCAAAGTCCTGAGCCTGACAAATTTTGTCCGCACCTTGCATGTCCGCCTGTTGGTGTGATTCTTCTCTGAGGAGCGAACAACCCCAACACCCGTTCTCTGAAGAATCTTCCAGTGCCTTTGTACATCTTGATATTGGCACCTATCAAGCCTCTTTGGGCTTTGCAGTGGTGGGAGGCAAGGGATGCCGTAGCTGCCCTGCATGCTCGCAAGGCCTTTTGCGCGAGCTTGGCTGCAGGCATCCACGGCAATGCCCAGTTTCTGTGGACATGTCTGGCACAACAGCTTTCCCAGGCGAGGGCAGTGAGGGCAGTGGATGAGCCACGGAAGCTGTTGCAATGACGTGAGGCATCAGCAGCGACCCACGAACTGTCTTAATACGCCGGGTGAAGACAAAGCCTGCCAGTGGATATGCAAGCGAACAGTTCATCGCTTTCACAGGCCATGACAGCCTATGCATGTTGCGGTGGTGGTAGGACCGTGGCACCCATCATGGCATTGTCACTTCAGACGTGCCATGACGCAGGCATCTTTGACTTCAGCCCCTTGCTTGTGGGCCGCAATCCGGATGCAAGAAAGGGGCACAAGACTCAGAGTTGGACAATCTGCAGCATTTTGTGAAGGCCAGATGCGCATATCAAGCAGCACATCGACAGCTTTCGCATCACCAACCACTCCTTGTTCAACTCCTTTTTTATCAGCCGACATTTGTAGTGAAGGGCGGGCCATTTTTGTGGCATGCGACCAGGGAAGATTTCGGGAAAGTTTGCTAAGCCTGAACCGCTCAGCAAATATGCTAGGCATGTTGTCTTCCTGTTTCATGGTGTGGGCTGTCCTGATGCAGAAAATCAGACTTGTCAAGCTTAGGCTGTTTCATCTGCTACGCCTTGTTGCAGAAAAATGCTGTTGCTCAAGATGCGCAACCAGGACATGGAGACATAAATGAAGCAGAACCAAGACGTAGAGACATCGAGTGAGATTTGCCAATAAGTTGCCACTTAGAAGTTGCAAAAAACTGCAAATCCTCCGCGTAGGTTCCTCATGGCTTCCAGAGCTGTTGCGTGGCTTCGCGCTAATGCAGCAGCGCTGGGCGTTGGGATGCCCGTTGTCGGCGTTATTGGCTGCTATGCTTGGAATGCCACGGAGACCCAGCGCATGGCGCGACAAATCTGCAAGGGACATTTCCAACCAGATGCTCTTGCAGACTACGAGGAAAGGTTTTGCCTTTTTGACAGAAACATGATGGAGAATGCGCAGATGGTTGGCCTGGTTGGATTGAAATCCACAGGGAAGTCCAGCACTCTGTCGCACTTCCTGAGAGAGAGGCCAAATCCCTTCCACCTGAAGCTCAAGGATGGCAACGTCTACGACGCAATGTATGACCAGATGAAAGATTCAGTCCTTTGTCTCCCCTTCTTGGCCGACCGTCTCCGGTGGGACGCTAGGAAGACCAACGAGAAGATCGTCATCGAGGTCTTTAAGCTGGTGCAGGAGCAGACAGGCTCGCCGGTGCAGCTCGGGGTGGATGTGGTGTTGAACCCCATGATATTGCCTTTAGAGGCGGCAGACAAAGCAGTGAAGACTGTGCAGAATTTGTTTTTGCCAACGCCGAGCTCAGTTCCAATTTTCAGCTCAATCAACATCATCATGCTGGTGAAGGATGTGAAGTGGCTTTGTGCCGATGAGAGGGTGGCTTCGGCAGTCATAGCATCCAGCGAGGGCTTGGAGCTTCTGAGTGTGAATGAGCCAAGGCTTGAGAAGCTGATGGCAGAGGAAATGCCACTCGAGAAAGCCAAGGACTACCTCCAGCACATCCACGCCAGGGACTACAGGGACGAGATGCTCAGGAAAATCCCACGAACCTTCAGTAGCCTTCAACGATTCAAGACAGCACAGGACAAGGAGGACTTTTGCCAGAAGCAGATGGAGGCGTGGATGCTGTCAGTCAAGGAATCTAAAGGGCACTGCTCCCACGAAGGCAAGGATGGAGGTCTCACGGCCGCCAAAGCCCTCTACCGCAAAGCGCTCGGCGGAGCAGTCGACTATGACGACATTTGCCAGCACTGCACAGATCAGCAGAACTTCACGGCGAATTTCGTGAGACCCAACCTCTTTACCCCCACCGCAGGTGCGTACAAGTTACAATTGGATTGTGTAGCCGAGGCAGCGAAGGCTGTGTTCGGCCTGTGAATGCCCATTGTCCATTTGAAGGTGGCAACCCTGAGATGCAACTGTAAGTCTGAACAGGTCATGTTGAGGGACAACAGTGCACGTGAAGAGCAGAGAGACTCAAAAGCGTGGGCATCAGCATCAGAGCGCACGGTGCTTTTGTAAGTGAAAAATATCAATACGAATCACTGTTTCCAGCAACTACCCGAATCAGCAAATCGTTTCCAGCATGCCGATGGTGCCTGACCTCCCACAGTTGCACGGGCAACTGCTGTGCTGCAGCTTAACCAAGGACACATGATGTGGGAGAGGTGAAGCAGGAGGTGGTTTTTGAGTCTCTGGTGGCTGCTGTGGTTTCATTTCAGCCAGGCAGTTCTCAACACGTTCGACAAGGGAGTGGCTTCCTTCAATGATGTGCACAGCATTGAAAGCGTAGCCACCTCAGTCGCATCCCAATACACACACGTACATGCGCACACACACACACACACACAGAGACAATGACCCTTAGAGAACCTTCTCATGGCTGCGCAGGTCGTGGAGGTTGTGGTGGCACTTCTGGAGTGTTTTGGCTCCACAAGCCGCTTGGTCAACACGGGCTACACCAGGCGTCATGATGAAAGTGGGTGTCCCAGGTATAACAATTTAAGCACAATATTGCAAAGAGAGCTGTAAAAGACAACGAAGGGTCTTCAAGAGGGCTTCTGCTTCGAGCTAGACCCTGTTCAAAGCAAATGAGAGCTTTTGTCGGCTTGCCAACCCTCAAGTGGGCATGAGTGAAAGTTCCGAACAACTGGGGAAAAGCCCTGGCAGGTCACTTTCCTCCAACACGGCCTTTGGGCTCGGCTTCAGCGCCGGAGTGAAGGAGCCCTTGGAAGCTCTTCTCTCTGGCCGCGACTTCTCGGGCTGGATCTCCTTGAGCGCCAGCTTCTCTGCTGGCTCCACAACTAACTGGCGGCTCGCCCAGGGTCGGTTTTGTTGGGGTTCTCCATCAGTTCGGCCCGGCTTTTTTTGATTCCGGATGAACTGTTTGGCGTGGCTTTTGTGTGCGACGCCCGTGACTTGTTTCTGTCGACGGGATGTTCTTCTCAGGCTTCTTGTGCTACTGCTACCTCTCTCTTTATGTCGTTTTGCTGAAGTCAACACTCGTTTGCCAGGTTGGTGTGAGCTTTGCGCCTGTCACAGCTTTGCATGAACAAGTCGAGTGTGTTTTGACAACCACGTAAGGCTGCGCAATGCCTGGTTTGTTGTTGTCAACCAAACTTTTAGGATTGGGATTTGGCTTCAGAAAGGCCAAATGAGACCCGCCCAGAAATTGAAGGACAGGGTGCCGTGTGTTTCCCCATAGAGCTGAAGGCGAAAGGGGTTCTAACTTCAAGCAAAGAAGGGGTGGGTGAGACTCAGGATTCCGGGCCAGGTGCTGTTACAGGGTGCTGTTGCAGGGTGCTGCTGCAGGCTGCAGCAGCTGCTGCCGGCAGAGTTGCGCAGGGTACTGTTGCAGGTTGCTGTTGCAGGGTGCTGCTGCATGCTTCAGGCCGAGACGGCAACACGGACTACTGAAAGAATGAAGGCGACTACGTCATCAGAGACCAGATAATTCGATCTGCTCAGCATACTTGGAGCAACCCGATGTGAAGAAAGACCACAGCGTGAGAAGACCCGGCAAGGATGAACTCCAGGTCTTGGGCAACCACCCGAACCTGACACGTCAAGAGCCACACGAGCAAGCTTGCGGCTACCTTGCTTGAAGCGACTCTGTGCTTTGTTGTCATTAGTCCGGGTGGGGCCACTTCGGGTAGTTTCCAATACGTGGACTGCCTACACGGGGCTTCCTGGCCAGGGCAAACAGCGCCATACTCTGATCTTCAACGCGCTAGAGAAGGGCTGCCACTGTGACCCGTCACCAGGATTCCAACGCCGGTCAGTGCCGCGTTGGCTAGCTGATGCAAGGCGATGGCTGCCAGGGCTGTCGGAACACAATGGTGCGAGGCCACTTGAGCTTGCTTGCTCAGCATGCAGACGCTGCGGAATCTCATCTACCATTGCAGGGCTTAGGCGCTGGCACCAGGTATCACTCACCCCGCGGCAAATCCTACAGCGCAGGGTCAAATGTACTTTGGCTGTGGGCTCTGCCAATTTGGTCAACATGACAGTAACGCGGGCCTCATGCACGAACTTCCTGTCAGTAGGCTTGTTGAGGGACTGGTGTTTCGCATGCGTGGCGCATACTGCTGGCCCTAATTGTCCCAAAGGACCGCGAGCTTACTACTCCGCAAGCATCAAGGAACAGATACCGCGAACGTGATCCCGTTTCTACCCTGATCGTTGATGAGACAGGGAAAGTGACTGCAATGTCAGGGTGTTCATCTTGGGCTGGCGATATGCGCCCACGTGCCCTGCAAATCCTTTGGCTCTTGCCAGTTGCAACGCGTGTTCCCTGGAGCTGTAAAAGGCAAATCCGCGTAGGCCATGGGTTACATGGTTCGTTTCCATTTTAGTGCCTCCGGCTCAGGCCGCCGACGTTACAGGCCTGCTTTCTTATTTGCGTCCCTTTGGAATTGTCCCCTTGCCCCCTTCCCCTCTGAGATTTTTGCCCACCTTTCTTTGTTGAGATCCATTCCCCCTTTCCGCCCGAAGGCCTTTTCTCCCTCTGTTTTTTCCCTTTTCCTCCCTAAGATGTTTTCACCCCTCACCCTGTTGAGATCCTTTCCCCCCTTTCCCCCCTAAGGCCTTTTCCCCCCTGAGATCTTCTCCCTTTGCCTCCCTAAGATCTCCCAGATCGTCTCCCTTTCAGGGAGAAGATCTGGGAGAAAAGGACTTAGGGGGGAAAGCCCAACAGGGAAAGGGGGGAAAAGATTTAGGAAGGAAAAGGGAGAAGCTCTCAGGGGGGGGAAAGGCCTTAGGGGGGAAAGGGGGAAAAGGATCTCAGCGGGGGGGGGGGGGAAGATCTTAGGGAGGAAAGGGAGAAGATCTGGGGACAAAGGCCTTAGGGGGGAAAGGGGAGAAATGATCTCAACAGGGAAAGGGGTGGAAAAGATCTTAGGGCGGAAAGGGAGAAGATCTGGGAGAAAAAAGGCCAACAGGGAAAGGGGGGAAAGACCTAAGGAAGGAAAAGGGAGAAGCTCTCAGGGGGGGGAAAGGCCTGAGGGGGGAAAGGGTGGGAAGGATCTCAACAGGGAAAGGGGGGAAACAATCTTAGGAAGGAAAGGGAGAAGATCTGGAAAGGCCTTAAAGGGAAGGGAACAGCCCCCCTAAGGCCTTCCCCCCCCTGAGATTCTCCCTTGTCCTCCCCAAGATCTTTTTCCCCGAGATCTTCTCCCTTTTCCTCCCTAGGATCTTCTCCCACCTTTCCCTGTTGAGCTCCTTTCCCCCTTTTCCCCCTAAGGCCTTCTCCCTTTTCCTCCCTAAGATCCTTTGCCCCCTGTCCCTGTTGAGATCCTTTCCCCCTTTCC